ATTAGTGTTAGCTTCTGCACATTTTTACTTGTTTAGCTATTAGTGTTAGCTTCTGCACATTTTTACTTGTTTAGCTGTTTAGTGTTAGCTTCTGCATAGTTTTACTTGTTTAGCTGTTTAGTGTTAGCTTCTGCATAGTTTTACTTGTTTAGCTGTTTAGTGTTAGCTTCTCAGTAGTTTATTTTACATGTTTAGCAGTTAAGCTTTAGTGAAGCTTTTATTAGTTAGTAGTTTACAGTTTAAGTCCTACTCCACTAACTAAACTCCTCTACACATTACACTATATATCAGAGCATAAAGTTTTAAGAGAAATGTAAATATAAAAGTTGTTAAAACTGTAAAAGCAGGAGATCCAGAAAGATTCGTCTTTGATGAATTTGTAATATTGTTATGTGTCCTCAGGTGGACCGAAGCCCGACAGGCTCAGGTGTCACGGCTCGAGTGGCTCTTCAGTACCACAAAGGTCTCATCGGGCTGAACCAGACCAGGACGTTTCAGAGCGGAGCCACTGGATCTCGATTCACAGGAAAAGCCGTCCAGGTATCAGAAACCTTGATGTTTATTTAATGGGAGGAGACTGTAAAAACTCCTAAAACAAAATCAAACAATCAGCACTTCACGATGATAAATACTAAACCCGTGCATCGAGAACTTAATATCAGCTACTTGAATTAAAAATGGTCACATTATTGCTGAAACGACAGTTTAAAAGAAAAAAATAGTTTGACTTTGGTCTGCTGCTCTCTCTACTTATCAGATAGTTGAAAGGAGCAGCGCCACTCGTGGTCATGCCCCTTTTGTTTGCTGTAAAGTTCAAAGGGCACGTTGAGATAAAGTCACACTAATCCTGCCCTCAGAGGGACTCAAAAATAAGATAATTATTGTAAAACATCAATTACAGCCTGTTGATAAAGAATAAATACGGCAAAACTGACTTTATTTCAGCTGCCTCCTGTAAGTTTAACTAATTAGACAGGAGCGTCAAAATAAGCTATATTTTTATTAAATCATTTGTATCGTCTAATGTGAGATGTTCTACTAAAAGCTTTGACCTGCTTTAAATCTGTAACAGAATTCTGCTTCCTTAAATGCCTTTTTTTCTCTAAGCTGACGCCCCGAACCGTCAGTCAGGAGTTAACCTTACACACTCGTTTCTCGTCAGGAGACCGTGTGTGGAGACTTCAAGGCCGTGGTGGTGGAAGTGGAGGGCAGAGCTTTTTATACCGGAGTTTCACGCTTCGTGCAGGAACCAGAAGACGAGCTGAAACACGGGTTTCTGCTGAAGTGAGCGCCTTCAAACAAACGTCGTTTTTTTTTTAAGTCACGCTTTAAATATTAAAAAGGTAAGAAGTGCTTTTGTGGCTTAACAGCTCACAAAATGTAGCAGAAATAAAAAAAGAAATACAATCTGAAGTGTGTAAGAAGAGACTTGGGCTCATTTTTTTCTGTTTACAGCAGAGGTACATTTACAGTTTTTAAGTAATTTTTTGAGGATTTGTAATTTTACCAAGTATTTTGTTTTAAACCACAACTTTTTTATATTTACAAATAAAAAGGATACTTTTACGTTACATTAAAATTTAACGCCTTGTTACACGTTACGAATTTAAATATGACCAAACATCATGAAAGTTGTTTATGCGCTCTAAAAATAGTGTTGTTTACTAATAAATATAAAGCAGTTTGCTCAAATAAGTTCAGTGGAACCAGATTGATTTTTTTGCGTAAAAATGTTTATTTTTTCGATTGTCAGTAGTTTTATGACTTTTGCTTAAGTACTTTTCTTATCAGTAAAATAAATTTTTACCAAAATATTTTTCGTTAAATTAATTTTACTTTTAGTTGATTCTTTTCTTTGAACACCTCTGGTTTATAGTTATATTAAACCTCAACTAACTCTACATGAACTGGATAAAAAAGTACCTATAACAAACAAAAATAAAAACTTGCTGCAAAAATAAGCAAATAAATAAAAAAATCTTACATCTTTATGCTGATAAAATATAGCAAGTTTGCTAATTGTAAGAGAATTTTTGATTATGTGAAGATTACATTTTGTTCGTTTTAAATACTGACCACTAGATGGCGCCATTAGCCTAGACGTGGTAATTTGAAAATTTGAACCCATAATAAATGTAGTTTTTAAAGGTAAATAAGAAACCGAACACTGATTTCCCCCATTTATTATTATACTATTATCAGATAATTGTACAATGGAAGGCAGTATTTAAATTATAAAAGTTCAGTGGAGGTGTGCGACTGGTTGGATTCACACAGCTGAGGAGACAAATCTAAACTTCTACAGATGAGATTTTTTTCTTAATGCTGTGTGAATCCAGTCAGTGAGCAGAAAACATTGAATCTGTTCAGATGAACACAAAGGAGGGCACTCTCTTCAGGGATGGGTGATGCGTTGTATTGGAAGAGCTGATCTGTCAGAATTATACGTTTCTATGTGATGCATGTGAAGCACACACACTTCTATTTGGATATATGTCAGTTAGGACACGAGTGTTCACACAGAGGCTGCAGGGTTAGACCCAGGCCTGTCAGAGTGCCCACCCAACAATTAAAAATCAACACAGTCAAGGCCAGCTCTCAACAGAAAACAAAATGTTCAAATGAAACAGAGATATTTATAATAAATGCTGCTTGTCAATAAAGAACTGAACAAACAAAAAAAGTCTGATACTTGTAGTTTAAATGGAACATCTCAGAGTTTCGGTTCTGGGATGTTTCTGGCCGCAGCAGAGGTAAGTCTTTCTGGGTCCCTGTCATTCTGTGAAACCAGTCTGTAGAAAATGGCCCCTCGTTTCTTTTAGAAATGGTCCTAAAAGGATCAAGCATCCAGCTCTGAAGGAGTCTAGAAGCTGCATAGATTCTGACGTACAAAAAGTGTTTTAACAATCATGAGCGAATCCCACGCCTGGAGGGAAGCTCTTATTCCAGCATGGCCGCCTCGTCTGAACAAACTCGGGGGATTTGGTCAAACTCTTATCAACTCGTGGCTTCTGCTCCGTCTCATATCGACAACTACGAGGACAGAGAGGCTAAAAGCATTCGTGGCTCTGCGGTGAGGTCATGGTCTGGTCGAGCCGAGCCGGGTGGTGAAGGATGAGGAATGTGAAGGTCGGTTCGACCCGCAGACAAACTGCTGCAGAGAGGAAAGCAGCGGTCGGTTGGGATGGAAGGATGACAGCTAGAAGTTGAGTTTGGTGACCGGTCGCTCCCGGCCCGAGTCCGTGTTCTGGCTGTTGATCCGCTTGCGGTTACGCTTCATCTTGGACAAGTCCTTGTCGAAGACTTCGCCTGATCGCAGCGCGGACACGAGGTCATCAAACTCGCCGCCATCGTCCTCGCCGTTCGCTTTTGCTTTCCGGGCTTTCCGCTCCCTCTCCCTCTGTTCTTTCAGCTGGAACACATACACACACATACACACACGCACACACACGGAACACAAACACACACACAATGAAGAATTCCCTCTAAACGCATGAAGGTAAGGACAGAAGCAGTCATCAAAAGAACTTAAAATGTTTGGAATCAATCAGAAACATACACTCACCGGCCACTTTATTAGGTACACCTGTCCAACTGCTCGTTAACACTTAATTTCTAATCAGCCAATCACATGGCGGCAACTC